CGAGTATCAGGAAAGTACCTTTGTCCTCCCATTGTGCCCGAGGCCGGCAGCAAGCTGGCGCAGGATGACGAACTGGGGGATCGATTGATGGAGTTGACGCGGAAGGTGGTCATGGAGAAGACGAAGCGCAAGTCGGCTGATCAGGGATGTCCGTTCGACGATCTTGTCCTGCATTGAACAAGGACAAAGGCACAGGGCAAAATAATGAGTCAGCCATGCTTGGTATTTTGGCAACAGTAGTGAGCATTTAACTACAAGCACAGATGCAGATGGGGGGCTGTTTGGATAATCCTATGATATTTTAATTTGACAATCGTAACAAGAAGCTTCCCCGCTTGATCCGTCAAATGTCTCCAGTGTTGACCCCCCGCACCGTCATGCAGTAGGGTCACTTCGAGACTGCTGCAGCCAATGTTTTGCGGCGCCGCTGATTTAAGCATGATCGACAAAAGGTGATCATCGCCAACCGTGGGGAACTCTGCCGACGTCCCGAGCCTGACTTCAGCAAGTGAATATTTCCACGTATGGGAGGTACGGTGAAGCTGGAAGGATTGTTCCAACCGCAATGCACTTACTTCTCGTCAGCTTTTCTCCCGAACAATGTCGATTGTATGGGGTCTTCGAAATGAATATAAACACGCAACAACTGCGCGTCATACCGGGCCTGGATGCGGATGGCAAGGCGGGATTGCTATGCCATTTCATATGATCCCAAGTCTCCCTCCACAAAGTATTCCACGATGATTTTCGGTCCGCAACTTCTTGTTGGTCTTTTGAACCTGTCCAGTCTTGCACTTGTTTCGGCCCATTCCAGTCCTCAGTCCATCCCCATACGACCGTCAATTGAGGCAGCTCCATACAACACTGGAAGGGCGCTTCCTGTTTCTCCGACACGCGAGAGAGACCGATATTGCCATGTCCCTGCCAGCTGCAGTAATGGTGGAGATGACGCTCCGCGAATCCTTGCTGCCATAAAGAAATGCAACAACGGCGGTACCGTGGTTCTCGACAAGGTGTATCGCATCGCCTCTCCCCTGGACCTGACCTTTCTGAGACACATCGACATCGTTATAACGGGCGAGATTCATTTTGCGGACGAGGACGTTTACTACTGGGCCGAAAACAGCTTCAAATATAAGTTTCAGAACCAGTCCGTATTTTGGAAGCTCGGCGGCGAAGACGTCAACATCTACGGCGATCTTGGGAATGACCAGTCGGTTATCGATGGCCACGGTCAAGCCTATTGGGAAGAGATCAGGACAAATAAGAGCGTATGTCGAACACTGACACTAGATATACATTGCTGCTGATCTTGACTGATACAGCTCTTCCGCCCCATGCTGTTTGCCTTCGATGGCATGCACGGGGCAGTTATGTCTAATATGCGCATGAGAAACCCGCCCCACGTGAGTAAACAACAGTTGGCTCCCTCCTGATACTCCTGCGCACTGGAAGGTTTTCGAGGCTCATCAAAGCGGATTCATTGTGTTTAGTGGTTTAATATCATCGCCAACAGCTCCGATATATTGATTAGCAACATGCACTTGAACGCAACGGTAAGCCATCTAATTATCAGAGCACTAGAGATTTGGCTGATCATACGAAGAGTCGTGATGGGGTTGTGATAGCCAATTCGGATGGTTGGGATACGTATCGATCCGACCGTGTCGTGATCCAAGACTCGGTTATTTGGAATACTGACGGTACGGCGATTTCAAATGACACAATCTTGGAAATGAATCTAAATGATCGAACAGATTGCGTCTCCTTCAAGCCGAACAGCACCAATATCGTGATCCAGAATCTTGTTTGCCATGGGTCACACGGAATCAGTGTAGGTTCTCTCGGCCAGTATGCAGGGGAGGTTGACATTGTCGAGGATCTCTACATTTACAATATCTCTATGGCCAATGCGAGTGACGGTGCGCGCATCAAAGTCTGGCCAGGTATTGAGACCTCCTTCCAGACCTTGCTCAATGGTGGAGGGGGGCTCGGTCGTGTCAAGAATGTAACTTGGGACACATTCTACCACGAGAACAACGATCGAGCAATCACAATTACACAGTGTTACGGGCAGAAGAACCAGACTCTGTGCTATGAGCATCCTGTGAGCTTTTACACCCTTGTGTTGATAAAAAGCTGACTGGTGCTTTAGGCAAACCTGACGATTGAGGATATCACGATGAAGAACATGTGGGGGACAACCTCGGAATCACTCGACCCGCAAGCTGGTACATTAGTCTGCAGTGCTCCTGACGTAAGTGATGAACTCGCGATGCTGTGCCACCATGATCTGACCTTTCTTTCTTTCACTCAGCGCTGCGGCAACATTCGTGCTGAGAATATCACCATCAATGTTCCCAGCGGGAAGCCGCCAGTTTATGCTTGCGTCAACGTTGATGAAGGCCTTTTGGATTTAACGTGTGTCAAACCTGCAGGTGATAGAGATACATCACAAGGGTAAACTTGGAGAAGTTGTCTACGCCAGATTCACCGATATTTCCGAACATGCCTAGATACAGGAGAATCACTCAGAGTGGCCTTTTCTCTCTTTCCATAGGGGCCGCTACTATCGAAGAGATGACACAACACGTACCGTTGGCTCCGATGTCGGTCCTCCTGGCCATGTGGCTAAGTATGTTTTCACTAATTTAGCAATTGAGAATTATGTGCCATGAAGAAGGCTGCGGTGGTGATGATAAAGGTTGCACTGTAATCAGTCTGTGAGTTGACAGTAGCCAGAAATATTGAGTATTCATTCATAATGACTGGAGCGTTGATGGTAGAGAAGATCTGTCTTTGATCAACATCCTAGTTTCAACGAACAGTAAGGATCGTAAAGAGATATTCAACCACGTAGGGCAGAGCCGTGTCCCTGCCGAAGCGATCTCTTGGAATGAATACCTCAGAAGATGTCCGCTCGATGATTAATCTTCCCAGAGTGGAATTTCCAGTATCATTCAGGTACATTAATGAGAGGCGGGTAACGGACCTCACGCAAGGTATATCCTTTTAGTATTAGGACAACACTATCGTAAATCTTCCCGCCACGCGTGCTAGGCCTAAACAGACAGAGGTTGCGGCATCTCGGGCTTTGCATTGTATGAGATGCGGCCAGCGGGGAGGAAAAACAACGCGACCAACGCGCCGCCTCGCACCTCTCGATAGTGGTGTGTGCCGGGTCCAGGGGCAGTCCAACCGGCTGCCTGCCAGCCTGCATGCCCTTCAGCTCCGCCGTCGAATCGATCTGTATGACGCAGTTGATCTCTCCGTATGGATGAGCATGATATTGGCCAGTATAAACTTCCTGGCTGTCCATGAAGACAGTGGTGATGCTGAAGAACCTGGTCTGGGCTACCGGGTCGGTGATTCTTCCCCGGCGGTACTTTGGGCCATCAAGTTCAGTTTGGGCGACCCATCCCTCCTTAACGCCCTGTTTGATATAGAAGCAAAAGTCTTCGTAGTAAGAATTTCCAGGGCCGTACTCCTTGTTGAGCCTGGCTTCAAGGTCCTTTCCGGGGGTCCTAATTTCGGGAAAGATTCACAGTTAGCTTTCTCGAAGGCCGTTTGGATGAGACATAGCTTACAAGTCTTGGACTTCGCTCAAGAACTCGCTCGCTCGCTCTACGAACTTTTGCGCAGTTGGCCACTGTAAAAGGTCGAGAACAGTTGCCTTGTCGACTTGAGACATTTTTAATCGAAGTGTGGCAAGTGAATAAAAAGGTCAGCTAGTAGGAGGCAGTCAAGCTCATTTGCGACGTGATCACAATAGCGCAGTCGTTTGTTATCATAAGCAGGCTCTCTTGTGCAAGGGACGAGGCTTTCTCCGAACACTTGTAGGGTGATAACAATGGGTCACCTCGGAATGTTGGAATGGAAGGGGAGTTCACCTCAAAATTTGACGCTCTCACCGATCCAGCCCGACAGGGTAGCACCCTAACCCCCGGGCGGATGGGGTTTCGGCATCTTTGCGCTCTCCACTAGTGTCCTGGCCTGCGACGTACTCCTACGTCGTATCCGACACGGCGATGGTGCTAGCCTTATTATAAGACTGCATAATGAATATTCAAGGTAGGTCAATGTCACTTAGTGAGGCTTGGATTACTGAGAATATGTTCTGGAAAAAGCCAATTACATGCGGCTGCGTTGCATGGGGCATGTTGTTGTTTTCAGCCACGGATGTTAGGACTCGCGTCATCCTTGAAGGCTGAGGTAGGACTTCTTTTCCACATGTGACATGAAGCGTCAGCTTCTTCAGAGCCGATCGCGATTCATTCGACTGATCCTTGAGGAAACAAGCCAAAAATGGATAATGCCATGGTAGAAGCCAGCCAAGATATCCCTGATTTGAGGGGGAGACGACGCCACAGTTGATGTGACACAGCCACAGGGCCCATGCACAGCCATTCGTACCAGCTCAAAACTTCTGGCACGTTCTGCAAATCTTCTTCTTCACGACAGAAAAGCCATCAACATCAACACCATGCTCAAGTCATTCGCAGCGATTCATTTCCGCCATTTCACGCCCACACCCATAATCTCTCACACCTTGTTTCGCAACATGAGCGACAGCAAGCCAACCGCACCCCTGGCTTTGCCATCCACCGAATCCACCTCGGATGGCTCCACCAACCTCACTCTCGGAGGCACAGTCAGTATGGACGCCCTGGGACCCGTCGTCGTTAACGTCAACGGCACCTTGTCCCGCATCAACAACTGGGCCGAGATGAATGAAATTGAGAAAGAGAACACATTACGCGTCCTCGGCAAACGTAACCGTCAACGGCGCGAAGCCCTCCTGGCGGCCCAGTCTGCTGAAGAGGAGGCCGGCAAGGACTCTGGGAAGGATTGAGAGTCCCCTGTCTCACAAGTTTCATGTTCACGACCAGCGACACTTTAATCGATGAATCGACTTTATAACGTTTGTAACATTATCCAAATAATTACAATATTCCAATCTATTCTCAAGTGATGAATACATCGGCCCTGAGGATGAGTGAAATGATTGCGTTCTCAAGCCCACAATTTGAACTGAGGACAAGTTCATTCAGCGTTGGACCCATCCTCTTCGAGTAGATGGATATGTCTCGTTTTAAACTGATAAAATTCTCAGTACCATGACCCCTCGTCGCGAACTGTGCGACACACGACCACATCGTACAGCTCGTCTAGACACTCACAGCCGGCTGCAAAGCCACATGCGCGTTCTTCGTCAGCAGCTGCGCATACTCATCAAACCAAGCGCCCGCATTAGGCGCACCCTCGATGCCGCAGGCGCCGTCACTCTCACCGCCGGGCTTGATCCAGACAATACTATCCACGTGCGGGTTCTCTGTCTGCGTCGTCGCGGGCTGCCCGAATCCGGCCTCGACGTTGCACCACTCACCCCACTCGGCGCGGGCGCCCTGGACGGCCACACGGCCCTGGTCGATGATAAAGCGGGTGGGAAGCCCTTCGGCCTCGAGGTGCGGAACCAGGGAGAGGGCATAGTGGCTCTCGTCGAAGGAGTTGCTAAACTCGGTGTAGGGCTCGGGAGTCATCGTGGAGAAGGGGTTGTAGTTGGAGACATTGGTCGAGTAGCCACGGATCTTCGCGTTGGGGCCAGCCTTTGCTACTATGGTGGCAAACTGTTTGGCAGCTGCATCACAGCGTTAGACCTCCTCCGTCATGAGGGTACAGATGGCGACTTACTTGGCGCCAAGTTGTCATCCCACCCCAGCCATCCGCCGTGGGAGGCGTCAATGTATAGGTGGATATTATCAGCCTGCAGCTCGGCGATGGCGTAGGCGATACCGTCCCTCTGCGGCTCGGCGGCATTGGCGCAGAACTCGATGGCCTGGTTGGTCACCATGTTGCCGACCGCATCGGGCTCCAGAACAATGGCAAAGGTAAGGTCAGAAGCAGCCTGAACTCTCGCAGCGAACTGGTCGACGTATTCTGTCCTGTATCTCTCCAGTCCATTCTCGGCCAGGCTGAGCTCCCCGGCACTCTCTCCAGCGCTGCAGTCTCTGTCGGGAAGGTTGTAAAGCACTAGGCCCACGATCTGTTCCTCGCCCGTCTCTTGCTGGACGCCACGGGCAGATTCGATGGCGCCGTCAATGTCGCCAAGGCTCGCAATGTTGGAGATCCAAACAAAGGTTCCGACAGACTCTTGAACGTACTGGACCTTGCCGGCATTGACATTGTCGCCGGCCGTGAGGAAGGCCTCGCGGGTTTCCTCGAGTTTGGCCGTGTAATTTTGGTTGACGAACAGCTGGCGGCCCTCAAATGGGTTGGCATCGGCGTCGTTCTGGCGAGACCAGATGGATGGACGAGCAGCTACTGCGCCAGCCGCCGCCAGGGCGCTCAGAATCGAAGTGGTGCGCATCTTGTGATTGGGGTAGGTGAAGAGGCTGAAAGACAAGATGAAGTAGTAGGATGTGCTGTCAAAAACCTCGAAACATTTTCATGTTCACATTATCGTTCTTATATGCCATATGAGAGACTGGCAAAGCGACCTGGCACGTATTGACTTTGTCAAGTGTTTGGCACGATCCACATGAGTGAGTAACGGCCTCTGGGGCTCAATCATTCACCAAGTCAAAGTTGCGCCAGGTACGGAACGAAGGATTTGTTCGTTTCGGTAGATTGCCATAGTGTGATGCTCGGGTGATCATCCCAACCCGGCGCAGATCTCACGGAGAAGCCTGGCCCGGCCGCAACATGGGGAAGCCAAGGCAGCAGAATGCCATGATCAAGTCGGAGATAGATGAGATTGCCGAGACGCCAGGAACACTCGACCGTGGCTCACATGCGACACGCTTCATGAGTCTGACGAAGGCTCGACTCGTCGTTGGCTGAACCAAGTCATCGACTGCCGATCCTCCACTTCAGTACCGGAGGCCACCACCGCAGTGGGGTCGTGATGGAGCACCGCGGCCGGAAGATAGCCACAGATGGGATCCCGCCTACCCATCGGTTCGCTGGCGTCATACTTATTGTGCGACCTTCTGAATGATGAGAAGAATAAGCAGCTGAAGCTTCATTGCGTAATCTGTGGGCCTCTGAACCGGCGGAAGCTGCTCTTTGGCACGCGTCGGGTAAATATTACATTCATTGTCGGACTAATGAGCTGTAAATCATTGAGCCGTAATATATATGAATCCCCTGAAACCATGCCGTGATTTGTCCCCATTCTTCTACAATGATCACTCGATCGCAGGTTTGATCTCATGACCGAACAATTCCCCAGTCCGTAAGAGTGTACGCTCGAGTTGAACATCACCAGACGATGCTTGCTCAACGGATGCTCATAATTATGTATTAGCATTATTCCAACCCCACTCTTTCACTTGCTTTTTCTTGACTCAAAAGAAATCACGTCTGTGGCCTCCATGTACTTCCAAGGTCAAGTTCAATCGGATACTGCGGCCACAAAGCCATGCCTCCGGCACGCCACGTATCGGGCTCAAGACGAACATTGATCTTGTTATCAGACTCGGTCGCGTTGAGTAGCATATTCTTCGGTGACGCCAAGTCGTATGTAGGCCACTTTGGGATAACGTCCACTACTCGATTGTCAGACTCGTCCACAACTGGTATCAAAGGAGGATCTCAAACCTTTAAACGTGTTGGGATCACCAGTAGCAATGTACGAGATGAATTTATCCACGATGCCCCTCGAAAGCCCGAGGTGAGAGCTGATGTTCACAACCTGCGGGTTCATACCGTACATGTTATACCCAGGCGGCAGGTCAAAGAAGTACGTGTACTCGGTGGAATGCGCCGTGAAACCGGGCGTCAGGATGCTGCTGATCGGAATGGAAGTCGGGTTCGTGTCGAACCTGACACTGTCAGCTTAACTGTCTGCCGTATTGCACACAAACACGTACCTGTAGCTGAACACGTCAACGCCCTGCTTAGCAAGACTCTCCGCGAAGAACCTCCGCCCGTTGATGATCTGAAAGTCGCCAAAAATGGCGGCCGTGCGCCTATACTGCGCTCCACAGAGCTGGCCTGCCGCCTTCATGGCGTCGCAGAAGACGTCCTCGCCACTGGCAGCTTTCATGGGCAACGAGTACGGCGGCGACGGCGCGTCCACGGGGTACGCGTCGAGGATCTTCTGCAGAACCTCTGGCCGGGCAGCTGGGAAGAAGAGAGCGCCGAGAATGAAGAGGAGCGTCGCGTCATCCTCGATCGGCCCGAAGAACTGCTGGAGCAGCTGAGCTACGAGTAGGCCTTCGTCGCTGTTGGTGCCGCTGATGAAGTTGATGTCGCGGGGGGAAACGACCGGCGGCGAGCTGCAGGCTCGGGGACTCGGTGATGAAATCCCCATCGACGGAGGGCCACCACAAGGGCGCAAGGCCTGCCGCCGCGGAGGCCTGCTGGCCGACGTCGTAGAGGGCCTTGTAGTCTACCTCTCGTAGGCACTCGAGTCTGTCCCCGGCATTCGCACACCTGGTCAGGTTAAGAACGGTGTCGTAGGCCTGCGACACTCGCGCCTCGTCAGGGGTCAGGCTATTAGTGCCCAGGCCGCCGGTTCCGCTCACGGCGATGGCGCCGCGGAACAGACCGGAAGCACCGTTTCCTCCGTAGGCAAGGAGCTGGTGGGTGATGGACATGGCGCCAGCCGATTGACCCCAGAGGGTCACCTTGTCAGGGTCGCCACCGAACGCGGCAATGTTCTCCTGAATCCAGCGCAGAGCAAGATGCTGGTCCTTGAGACCGAGGTTCGTGATGCCAGCAGCCGTGGCATCAGGACCTCCAGGAAAGCCGAGGAAGCCGAGACGATAGTTGAGCGTGATTGTGATGATCGGAAGCTCGTTTTCCACGCTCGCCTTGACGACATAGGATGTGTTTGTATTGCCGTCAGGCCCGAAACCGGCTGAAAAGCTACCTCCATGGATCCATACCGCAACAGGCAGCTTGTCACCAGGTGTTGTACGGGCTGGACGGAGAATATTGAGGTTGAGGCAGTCATCGCTGTACTTGAACCCTGCGTCGGCGAAAGCAGTCGGGTTGGGTGTGGTCGGACAGAGTGCGCCGTAAGACGCCGCAGACCTTACGCCCTCCCAAGAATCGGTCAAGGACTGAGGGTTACGAAGACGAGAAGCCTTTGCATAGCGTACCCCCCAAAAAGCCTCTTGATCAAACTCGCGGATGCGGACACCAGTGTATGTCCCGTTCAGCGTTGTAGCCTTGGGCGTAGAAAGACAGGCGGCCAATGCCTGGTCCAATACCGCGCCAATGGCGAGAAGTGATGGGAGGACTCGAACCATTCTCGTGAGTTGGGAAAGTAATGAATTTTCAGACTGAGCGCCCCAAAAATGGTGGCATAATATGCGCCATGCTCACATCTTTATCAACATTTGCTAGCTGAGGAGAAACGAGAACACCGAGCCCGACGCATCTAGATCGAGCTCCACGTGGGGATGGATGGTGGCAGCATCGGACCGCAACCCCAGCCGGCGGAATTCCAGCCGCACGGTCGGGCTAATGCAGCTTCGCTCATCCACGGATCTGGATCCTGCGTATCGTCTTCATCACGCACCAACGTCGGTCCGCCGGGACATTGTCCTCGCGTGGGGCGCGATAGTCGAGCTACCAGGCGCGGGCCACGAGGACCTGCCATCTGGGGAACTTTTGTGAGTGACCGGGGAACCCTTGCTCAGCTTGAGGATCTTTTGAAGGGGGCAGCGTGCAGGTGTGATGCGGAGTCTTCAAGCGAGGGGCCTCGTGGCGGTCGCCTGGGTGGCCTGGGTGTCGCGGCAGGGGTTGTCAACAGCTTGCCACAGATCCCTCATGCTCGATTGAGATGTTGTGCCCGTGAGGGGCGGCTAGTGCTCCGAACCACTAGGCATGACGAGCCGCTGCTGCCGTGATGTCTCATGCGGCTCCGAGTGCGATCCGGCCGATTGAGACGGACTTGGTGGAGGGCAATGAAGCCACGTATTCACGGTGACGCGGTCCAAGCAGAGATCAAAGTCTGGGAGGAAAGTTGAGGGCTCGCCCACTGGTCGTGAGGAGCTGAGGCAAGTTGCTTGTTGTCGTGGCTGATTTTGAAGGATCGCCATGCACTTTCCGATCCTCTGGGCATGGCGGCCGCCCTGCAGCAGAAGGATCATGCACGTTACTGAAAGCAGAGGCGGAACAGGACGATCCGTCACCAAGGGATCAGATTCCAAAGTCACGTATTGAGCTTGATCTCTCGTTTGTAGAAATCGTGTGATCAAAGTCAGCCGCTTTGCATTCCATATTATCTAGGGGTTTATGAAGACATCAGATGCGCGCCCGGGCTACTGACCGCGGCGACCTCCTCTCCCGAAAACAAAGTCGTGATGCTCCCCCTGCCCGAACACGAAACCCATCCGTTGACTGCACGGCACAGAGACTGTAGTCATGGACTGGCTGCTGGTCGATCTGGCCGATTTGCGGGCGGGCTCCGTTGCATCGCCGGCAAACATGCGCTTGTTGTTTCCTTTTCGCTGCGCAACAATCTTCGGTTTCGGAGCCGCTGTCGCCTGGACAACGTCCCATTCGCAAGAGAGGACCTTGAATTGGACCTGGAGGGGTCGACTGTGCCGGTGGCGAGTGGTGGTGCTCTCGACAGCGTATCGGCGAAAGCTCTTTTGAATCCAGTCGAGAGTCTCGAATACGCGCGACTGGACGAGCCAGTCATCCTGGTCCCGAGCAATCTCGAAATAAGTTCGACCGCTACTTGTGAACTTTGGACTCTCTCGATATGCCCTTCCACTAGGTATACTTTGCACCGGCGGAAGCACTTGGCCATCTGAAGAATGTCCAGTGACAGGCTTCCGATCGAGGTTGCTCAACTGACCCGCAGCTTCATTTGCTTCCTTTCGCAATATCAAGTAGTCGATGAGGTAGAACGTCTCCAGGTTGGGACACTGCCGCGCAAGGAACTGATAGGCGTGGACGGGGTGGTTCTTGGTCGTCTCACGCATGTGCGAACCGCCACAAGCTTCACACAGCAAGACCACCGTCTCCCACTTGTGGCAGTACCTGACGGCCAGATGGCGAATCTTGTCGAGACCTGGACACCGAAAGTCGTGTGATATGCGGCACCCACTGTAGAAGAGGTCCGATGGCAGGTAGTCGAGGCACACGATGTCCTGGGCGTGAGAGGTCAGGGCGATGGGCTGCCCGTTGACCTCGAGTGTGCCCGGGTCCCGAAGAAGGCGCTGGACCACGCGCTTGGCCTCACTGCAGGTGTTGGAAAGGGTTTCGAGGACCTTTGCGAGGGCGACGTAATGTGAGTTGTCGGCTTTCGGATTCGGGAATATGGGAGCAAGATGTGCTCTGACAAGGAGGAAACGACGGGAGCCTTGGATGACTCGGGCGAGGACGTGGCCCTGGTCTTCGTTGGGCACAATCCTGAGAAAGTGCATGCCAGGTTCGAATATGGCAGCCTCCCATATCTGGAGGCGAATCTCCACTGGAAATACAGCGAATGGTGTAAAGTACTGTGCCCCTGATGGGAGCGCGAACTTGACCGCGGTGGCCATGATGAAAGAGTGTTGCGTTGTGTCTGCTGAGTGTGTTTGGTGTGCAGGTCGCAATGGTGGCGGGACTCTACGTTCGATGGTTGTGAGGATACTGGAGCAAGTGGCAGCTGACTGGATAAGGTACAGAAGAAGACAGAGACAGAATATATCTTCAATCTCTGATGCAGACCGACAAGGACAAGCCTGACTGAAGGTGATCAATGCATTTATGACGCAGAGGAATTCGACGGGACGTGAATAGGTGAACGCCTGGGGAGAGGTTGACCGGCGGAAGGTGCTCCTCGTAGGAAGGTGGTGGTGAGCCACCGACGCCTCATCTGGTGACATGCGGTTGGAGTTTGACGGGCAAGCACGGTTGTGCGCCTGCCGTGCCACTCACGCAACAACGCGAATTCACTCATCTTTGGCCAGTCATCCGCTGTCTGGATTTGATGGCCTGGTACTGAAGAGTGTTAATCATGACCATCACCTTGATTCCTTCGGACAAGTCTCGCCAATCGAGCGCGCTTCCGTTCTACCCCATATCTCCTGGCAATGAGCCTGGCTGGCTGTTGGAGACGTGCTATGGCTGTCTGCTGCACCCAGCCCACAAAGAGGTAGGTCATCGATCGAATCACTTGCGCTGACGGTCATCTTTGCGAATATGTTCTTCTGCTTTTCAGGATCCGTTGAGGGGCCCCAGTAGCTTGCGGCAGCTCACTGTTGCTGCCCGGGCACGTTGTCTGTCAATATCAACAACCACAACGCTAGATGCCGGAGAACCAGAAACGGCATCAGACACAGGTACCGTCGATGACAAAGCTTCGTACACTTGAAGGAACAAGGTATGAAAGACTGCGTGACAAATGGCCATGTTGGCGGTCCATCCGGATGCCGAGCTGTTGTCCTTGGGGCCATGTCGCTGCCTTACTCGCCCGTTTGAATTCCTCCACGGCCCAAGCCCTCTGTCAGAAAAGCGAGCAAACCGACGGGCTTGAAGTCGCTGCACCTCAGCCTCAACGAACGACGTACTCCCCGTGCATCCTCGACCCTTCTCGAAGACACTGCAGAATGCTCGGGCATTTGCGGCGCCCAATGTCCTAGCGTACCGAGACGGCCGACGTGCCCGGTGAAGCCGAGCATTCCGAAATTCGGTGCAATGAAAGCATCGTGTCTACTGGTTCCGAAAGTGTCCAGACCCTTTATCGTGGAAACTGCCGAGGACCGTGGCCCTCCGCCCCTCCCCCTTTTTACACATTCGAATGCGACAGGTCGGCACCGTCCTGCTGGACAGAGGTACCCGAGCGCGCGCTGCCAGCCAAGTTGTGCACTTTTAGAGATCCAGAGTCGCACCCGCCGCCCCTCCCCCTTTTTACACATTCGAATGCGACAGGTCGGCACCGTCCTGCTGGACAGAGGTACCCGAGCGCGCGCTGCCAGCCAAGTTGTGCACTTTTAGAGATCCAGAGTCGCACCCGTGTATTGTCTAAGCCCGGTCTTGGTCAATAAAGCTTGTACTGTATTCGCAAGGTTATCGCTCCTGACCAGGGCGCGGGGAAGAGCCCGAAGGCGTCTCAAGGGTCCTGCTCGCTTGACTCGCGAATCGATTTGTGGTCCAGTAATACTTGCCCGTCACAATCACGAATGCGACAAGATGTGCGAAGGGCCTGCAAGCCAGAGGTTTAGTTATCTGAGTATAATCGTGCCAACTAAAATTACGCGAACCCGAGATACGAAACACGTCTAGGGTGTATTAGACGGGAGGGTCGCCCGGCAGTGTCGGACGCGGAGGCTTTTCTTGTTGGCGCGCGCCCCGGTGTACGGGAATTGAACCCCCCCTGGTCCCCCCCCCCCCCCGGATTTCACCCCTTTGGGTTTGAGCACGCGAACACTGTCACAAGTATCTGTACTTTTCTTCTCAATGTCATGGATTAAATAGGATGAGGTATGATTGTGGCAGATGCTATGTTATGCACGTCCCTAAAAGATTAAGTACTTGGTAAAAGTCGTTATACGTACGCCGCGGATGATTTTTCTTTGGAAACCCGTCATCCGGTGGGAATATTGATTGGTCCCGCCCCCCTTAAACGAAAACGCCAACAATGGAACACCACTGTACATGCCTGTCTTCTCATCCACGGTTGTCCGTCGTGGGCACTGGCTTGGACAGCTTGACGCACCAGAGGAACAGGTCCTCGAGGGGCAGCAGCACGAGCAGGCAGCGGTTACAGAGCCAGGCCATGAGGACGACGCCGGTGGCAGCCATGGCGTCGAGGAAGTAGTGGTTTGCCGTCGAGACGATAATGGTCAGGACAAAGGCCGGGTAAAGGACGCTGAGGATGGCGAAGAAGGCCTGCCACATCTTGGACATGCGGCGCTCGCGCGCCGCAAGGCGGCGGCGGAAGATGCCCGAGTGGTAGAGCAGTACGGTGCCGATGCAGAAGGAGTAGCCAAAGTGCAGCGAGGGGAAGGCGGCGAGCTGGTTGAAGAACTTGTTGGTGGCGTAAATGGAACTCGGCGTCCTCGCGGCGGACCGTGTCGAAGAAGCCAAAGCGCTCGGGCAGCAGACGCGGCGGCATGCAAGGGTACGTCGTGAAGACGATGAAGCTAAACAGGTTCGTGAGCTGCATCATACGGCGGGCGGCGGCGAACTGGGCGTGGGTCGGCGCGGCGTAGTAGTACCATCCGAGGAAGCTGGACGGTGGTTAGCACGAGACATGGAGAACCTAGAGCAGTTGCGCCTCTTGTCGACGTACCTGACAGTGACGGGAATGTGGATTAAGGAGTACGCCCGGTTGAGGATGGTCAGCAGGACCTGGTGGTCAGTCCTGAACCACATCTGCACATCAACTTCCTTGACGGGGAACAAGAAGCTGAATATGCTGTCGTGCTCGAGGTTGAGGACGGCAATACCGTGGCTCTCGGCCGTCTTCCACACGCCATCAGTCGCAAAGATGAGCTCGCTCGCCGCCTTGACGCTGACGTAGAACAGGAGGTTGACAGCCCAGTAGAAGATCTCGACCAGGAAGGGGAACTTTTGAATGAATCGGCTGTGCCAGTAGTTGGCGTATCGGCTCGTGTCGGGTGTGTGAACAATAGCGCCGCAGCAGTTTCGCTTCTTGGGGCCGGTTTTCGTAGAAATGGTTCCGGAAGAGGTGAGGTCGTCATAGTCTTCCGACAAGGGGTCCTCTTCGTCCAACGTCTCGAGCTTCTGGCCCAGCAGGCCCTGGTCATCGGGTTTTGAGGAGGGGATGATGGTGAAGCCGCGGCGACGGTTGATGTAGCAGGAGGCTACCATGATACCAACGATGATCTAAGGGAGACGGTATAACGTTAGCCATTGCTCCTTGTTGACCGAAGCCAAGATGCTTCTCTTCAATATTCCTCTGCCGGAACAGTCTCATGAGGGAAGCGGGCGGCTTACGAAAGGCTCAACGACGGCATGGGAAGCGAACTGGGGCGCACCCAGCTCAGGCTCGGCTGCTTTCGCCATGATGATCGTGTGTCGCGTGTCGGGTTGCCGTTGGATCAAGGTAGAATGTTTTGGACCGTCCGACGCCGTCTGCCGCTATCGTGTGTTGCTCGACTCCTGCAACTGCAACGGGAACTTTCTCAGGGGATGAAGGAAAAATGTCTAGCCTGGAAAGTGTGTTGAACGAACGCGGGTGGTCCGCCAAGTGGGAGTGGGTGGGTAGGAGTCGCGTGCCTTGGATTGAGCCTTAGACTGCCCTGGACAGAGAGGATCGAGATAGCGGCCGGAGAAGCCGGGCGCTGGGGTGGAAAATCCCAATAGCGGGAAATTATCAAAGGGGGCAGACGGGTCGACAGTGGGGATTGGGTAGGGTCCGGGGGGCCTTTGCTGGGGCAGGATTATGCATCAAACCCGCGAGAGGTCAATAAAGTACAGTGCAGTCGGGGCTCGTTGCTTGGCGTCGGTTACTGGTCGCTGGAGTGGCTGCTGGAGTGGCTGCTGGAGTGCTGAGCCCCCTGTGTGCTGACGTTGGACTGCAGCCGACGGCCAGGGCGCAGCACAGCAAATGCAGAGGCCTGACATGCACTTTGGGGCTGATCATTGCAAAAAACAGGCTTGACCCAGTAGTCAAGTGCACTAGTCGAACAGGCCGGGCATGGCGCTTGGCCTCAAGGGGCCTAGCTCCAGGAGTCAAAGCAATGGGCCAACGTGTGTCTGTGATCTTGCATGTAAGCGGTGTATGACTTGGGGATCAAACAACCTCTGTACAGTACAGTACCTACATACGTAGATGTATGAGACACGATACACCCGACGACTGCGGTACGTACCGCGCGGCAGCATCACCAAGTGCCATCTCTCCCTGGTGGGGGCCTCATCTCGGCGTCCAATGACATGACCAGGGCCACCCACTCCCTGACGCCGCCCAGCCGTAATGATTTGCGACCCTCCTCGACCACCAGCAAATGCCGCCGCCCCCAGCAGCCCACGCAGGTTCATTCAAAAGCCCGCACATCCGCCAAGTCGGCCGGACGCCAGGGGGACGCCGTATCGACTATTCGGGTTTTCTTGCCATCGTCTCCTTACAGACCGATCAAGCGGCCTCCCCCCGCCCTCTCCCAGCAGCCAGGATCACCATGAACACAAACACATCACCACATCGCGGCAGTGGGCGTGCTGGCAGCAGCACTCGAAGCAGCAGCAGCAGCAGCAGCAGCCATGCGAGTGGCAGCGGCACCCATAACCAGCCCTACGACGAGGAGCGACTCGAGTTGCTCGGCGAGTTCGACACACCCTCCCCACGATGGTCATTATCGAGGAGATGCCTACGACTTCCAAGGCCCAAAAAGTCAACGACCTGGCTACTGCTGATTGATCTCACCATCATCGGTCTACTCGTCATCGCCTTTTGGCCCCTCATCACACTGCTCCTCTACAACGAGAGGTTATTCGGCGCTCGCCTGGCGCTCCCTGTCGAGAAGACACCACACACAGAGAACCACTACCAACAGCACGCGATACCGCGCATCTTGCATCAGACGAGTGCCACCGAACAGATTCGCGACGACTGGGTCAAGCCGCAACAGAGCTGCAAGGACGCCTACAGCGATTTCGAATACATGGTACGCCTAAATGAACTGCTCTTTTTCATGGAAAAGAGCAGGAGCCTCATAGAATTTCAAGGACAACATGCTAACCCTGTTGCCACAGCACTGGACCGACGCGCTGGCGCGTGATCTGATCGCCACCGAGTATCCCTGGTTCCTCGACACCTGGGACAACTACCCCTTCCCCATCCAGCACGCCGACTCGCTCCGCTACTTTGTTCTGCACCGGTACGGCGGCATCTACCTCGACATGGACACGTGGTGCAACGCGTCGATCCCGATACACCAAATCGAGGCCGCCGGGGGCAAGGACCTGTCCGTGTTCAAGTCGACGAGTCCGACGGGCGTCTCGAACGACCTGATGATCACGACGGCCCGCCACCCCATCTTCGAGGCCGTCATCAAGCGCCTCGTCTTCTACAACAAGATCAC